CACTCTAAAATGTGCAATTTTGTCACATAACACAATGCCACAGATGCCTCAAGTTTTGAAGGAGCGTGCAATTGGCATTCTGACTGCAGGAATGTCCACCAGAGCTGTTGCCACAGAATTTAATGTTCATTTCTCTACCATAAGCCGCCTCCAACGATGTTTTAGAGAATTTGGCAGTACGTCCAACCGGCCTCACAACCGCAGACCACGTGCAACCACGTCAGCCCAGGACCTCCACATCCGGCTTCTTCACCTGCGGAATCGTCTGAGACCAGCCACCCAAACAGCCCCATGAAACTGTGAGTTTGCACAACCGAAGAATTTCTGCACAAACTGTCAGAAACTGTCTCAGGGAAGCTCATCTGCATGCTCGTACTCACCAGGGTCTTGACCTGACTGCAGTTCGGCGTCGTAACCGACTTCAGTGGGCAAATGCTCACCTTTGATGGCCACTGGCACGCTGGAGAAGTGTGCTCTTCACGGATGAATCCCGGGTTTCAACTGTACCGGGCAGATGGCAGACACTGTGTATGGCGTTGAGTGGGCGAGCGCGGATGTCAACGTTGTGAACAGAGTCCTCCATGGTGGCGGTGGGATTATGTCCCAGTAGGTAAAGCTACGGACAATGAACACAATTGCATTTTATCAATGGCAATTTGAATAAAGAGATACCGTGACGAGATCCTGAGGCCGCCGCCATCACCTCATGTTTCAGCATGATAATGCACGGCCCCATGTCGCGAGGATCTCTACACAATTCCTGGAAGCTGAAAATGTCCCAGTTCTTCCATGGCCTGCATACTCACCAGACATGTCACCCATTGAGCATGTTTGGGATGTTTGGGATTGACGTGTAGGACTGCGTGTTCCAGTTCCCGCCAATATCCAGCAACTTTGCACAGCCATTGAAGAGGAGTGGGACAACATTCCACAGGCCACAATCAACAGCCTGATCAACTCTATGCGAAGGAGATGTGCCGCGCTGCATGAGGCAAATGGTGGTCACACCAGATACTGACTGGTTTTCTGATCCATGCCCCTACATTTTTTTCTAAGGTATCTGTGACTAACTAGCATATATGTATTCCCAGTCATGTAAAATCCATAGATTAGGGCCTAATACATTTATTTCAATTGACTGATTTCCTAAAATAAACTGTAACTCAGTCAAATATCTGAAATTGTTGCATGTTGTGTTTATATTTTTGTTCAGTGTATATGTTCTCTCTCAAAGAGAAATCTTATAGGCATTCATCAGATATATTATCTGCAGGAGCCCCAGCTTCGGTCAGCTAGCGTTACCTAGCAACCTATTTTACTACACCATCTGTGCCTCCGGAAATTAATATTCATTATTCTTCAACATGCATGTCTGTGTGCAGGTGATTGGTGTTCATGGTCACTATGGCATTCCTCAGACAACAGATATATTAATCTCATACAGAGATATTCATAATTCATATTTATGTTCAAGTCATATCTTGTCGCTATCTTTGGACCATATTAGTTCTATACACTGCAAGTAGGCCTACATTTTAGTATAATTGTACTACGGTTTCAAGTCCTCATCATAAAGCTATGTTTTAACGACTTGACAATCCTGAAGGATACTGGTGGTTTCATGATTGACTGAAAATAAATGAAATATTGATGAGAGACTATGATGCAGCTGCTGGCTTGAAAAATAAGCACAGAACCATTGAAAAAAGTGTTGCATTCTGCTCTCTGCTATGTTCTTGGGGGATGTTTCCTTTTGGAGCAGTTTGAAAAAGTACAGACAGAGTAAGAACAGCACATTCTCTCAATACAGTCTAGCCAGAATGGAGAAGTGGGAAAGGAGGTTTAAGACCCCTGGGAAAGGACACTCCATATTGGAAATTAATTTTTCAACATCTGACAGCATCCGTCTGTCTCTGTGCAACCATGTCAAGTGGAGACAAATCCCAGTTCCCCTTCTTCCACAGACTCATCACACACACACACAAAAGTGGCACCATTCAAACCTTGAGCAGAAACATAATATAGTACTCAGAAATATGGCATCTTCATTAAGCTCACAGGACAGTGAGAATGTAAAAAGACCTAAGTAAACACGCATGGGGACATTTTGCGCCTTGGTGTTGGTAAACACATACACGAGAGGTTCAGCCTAGATGTCTGGTCTTCTGGAGAAAAGCTCCCCTTCATTATTAGGGCTTACCCCAGTCTGTCTACTTCTTTCTGGGGATGCACTCTGGCAGCAATCCTTTGAATAAAACGGAGAAGGCTAATACATATCCAGGTCACTCACAGCAACATGGAAGCTCTGGGGACATACTCCCACACATCTCGCCCTCAATTTGGTCAAGAAGTGGTGCTGTTATACAAGTGAACTGAAACTGTACTTTACTAAGTTACAGGGCTTTATAAAGGCTAAAGAACTTTAATTGAGCTCGAATCTCAAGCATACCCTTTTTATGTGTTCGGTGAAACATTTGTGTGAAACATCTTGAGGAGGGGAGGACAATCAGATTAAGGTGTCTGTCTGTGCTTCAACTTCAACAATAACAGTATGGGATGGAGAGCTGACCTAAGTTCAGTTTTGTCTTATCTTTGCTCAAGCCATGACCAAAGGCAGCCATGCAATACCTAACAGCAGTTTGAAGATAATCAAGGACAACTACCACCCGAGCCACTGCCTGTTCACCCCGCTATCATCCAGAAGGCAATGTCAGTACAGGTGCATCAAAGCTGGGACTGAGAGACTGAAAAAAACGTATTCTATTTTAAGGCCATCAGACTGTTAAACAGCCATCACTAGCACAGAGAGGCTACTGCCTACATACAGACTTGAAAATCACTGGCCACTTTAACACTAGTCACACTAGTCACATTAACCATCTCATATATATATATACTGTATTCTATACTATCTATTGCATCTTAGCCTATGCCACTCTGATAATGACATTGCTCATCCATATATTTCTATATTCTAATTCCATTCCTTTACTTAGATTTGTGTGTATTAGGTTTTTGTTGTGGAACTGTTAGATATTACTTGCTAGATATTGCTGCACTGTCGGAACTAGAAGCAAAAGTATTTCGCTAGACTCGCAATAACATCTGTTAACCATGTGTATGTGACCAATACATTTTATTTTATTTTTATAAAATTAGTGGCGGTGTTCTGCAACCACCTAGCGGTAAGCAAAGATAAAGCACATTAACTCACTGGTTGCAGAACGGCTGTACCTCTCCGAAACAGTAGACGGCGTGTTCTACGAAATAGGGTTTTAATCCTTTCGCTAACCAGCGAAAAAAATAACAGACGCGCTGTGGAGGGAACAAAGAAAGGAGCTCGGGGTGAGTTCATTTTCAAGTGTATATCCTTTCCCTAGTTTTGCATTTTACTTTTCCAAAAGGTCAGATGGATGTGGAGATAATTTCACAACTTAATATAATTGTATTTCCATTCAAACTAAATAAATAATATATGTATTTACTTGCAGGCAAGGCTTAGCTAACGTTAGCTAGTTAACTGTGACCCCATTCAGACGCTAACTGCTTTAGCGCATATTAACGATATCTTCTGACTAGGGGAGGTTTTGTTAAGAGCCCCGACGCTTGCTCTAAGCAGTAACACCCATCGCTTGAAATACTTTTCAAATAATAAAATATTAAATTACTACACACCTCTTTTATAGGGTTAGTGTTCCCACAAGGCCAAATCTCCAATCCATCTCTTGTTTACGGAAGCCAGACGGAAAACATAGGTGGCCACCTGTTCTAATTAGCTATCTAGCTTGCTTCGAACGCCTATGTAAGCGTAACTGGGAAGGAAGTGTAGTTCTTCAACTGGAGAAACATACAATTTATGGATCTGTGCAATACTGTTACAGTAAGTGTATTTTGTATTTGAAAGATTATTTCTCACTCATATGAAAGATAAGGGGCATATCAGCATATGTTTCGAAAATTGGTTTCAAGGAGTGGCTATTGACTTTTCTGAACGTTCAAACACAGCGTCGGAATTGTAGTTCACATGGAGCCAAATGTGGGCGAATGTAACCGCTGAAAACCCTACATATGGAGAAGGGTTTCAGAGCTAGCTAACTGTTAGCTATTAACGTTAACTCGGCTTCCTAGATTAGCTAACTGGCTGTGTTTTGTAGCTTTGTTTGCTGGCTAGTTTGGATGTTGAACTAACGTTAGCGTCCATCATTTGTAAATAGTTAACTAGCTACTAGCTCTCGGGCTATGCGGCTAGCTCTGTTTTAGTACTAACAGCCACTCCTCGCCATTTTCCAACCATTGCGTCATTGGCATTGTCGGCTAGATTCTCTCACACACTGGCATCTCGTATTTGCATCTGTCTCTAGTCAAGTACTAGTATCGTAGCATTGCAATTGGTTAATAATTCAATCTAAGTGTTATACGCCTGACGCAATTTTGACAGAAACAAAATAAAATTGATAGGCCAGTTTCAACACGGTCTACCGCCTCCTTCCAGTTGCTAGTTTGCTCTGTTCACATCGCCGCGATGACAACTAATGATAACTTACTTGGCTCAGTATGAGGCTCTGCGTTCATGACAAGCTTCACTATACTTTCTTAATTTATGAAAGTAGAGATGTTACTAGGGTTCTGGATAACTTTTTTCTGTATTCGTAGGGTGCCATTTATCCCAAATACGAAATAAAGTAATTTTTGAGCATTTTCTATACCGCCACTGAGTTTACGTCGGATCTGACGAGCCGCATGCATGGACGAGAGCTAGTCTTTCGGTATAGAAAGTGCTTTAAAGTAGGTTATTTCATATTTTAAAGAAATTACATCATGTTTTGTATGCAGCTTACATTGTATTCATGGAGCCAACAACAGTGTGAATCCCACTGTCTTTAGAGTTCAGCATGCTTCCAACATGCCATAATCTGTTAATATCTGGCACTGGGCAGCACTAGCCATTTTTGGCATTGTTATTATTATTTGCCTATAACAAGCTCAATGTTTTTATTACAGCGCCAATGACGAGAATAGCTTGAAATCCACAATCCCTCAGCGAAGATGTCAAGTAAGGAGATATTTATGTCAATTTGTTTTGAATTGGGGCGGCAGATAGCCTAGCGGTTAAGAGCCTTGGGCCAGTAACAGAAAGGTCGCTGGTTAAAATACCTGCGCTGACTAGGTGAAAAATCTCTTGATGTGCCTTTAAGCAAGGCACTTAACCCTAATGCTCCAGTAAGTCGCTCTAGATAAGAGCATCTGCTAAATGACCCCCAAAAAATGAAGAGGGACCAAATGAAAATACTGCATGGTGAATCCTCCCCTCAAGCGTACAAACAGACTAAAAAGCGACATTGGTTGTGGATTTTCACCAGTTTAAAGAAATCTGTGCCCTGTATTGTAAAAACTGTTATTCATGAGTACATGGGACCGAAAGAACTGACATGTAGGTTTAGATAAAGGTTAAACGTTAAAAGCATTATAGAACTTAATTGATACAGGGAGTCCAATTTACACTTTTTGTTTTGTATGTTTGAATGGTCTTCACTTTTATTTTACACAGAAAGGCCATCATATGCACCTCCCCCCACCCCAGCCCCTACAACTGTAAGTATCACACACCATCCAACACCAGTCCTCCCATTTTCTCCAAATGCCAGGGGGAGTGGGTCTTCTATACAATCAACAACATTAGGTCAGTAATGTACAGTTGGGCTGCAGGACATCACATACATATTAGCTCAGGCTGTTCTGTGAACACATTTGCAAGCATGTGGCTCAGACAAAAATATTCTCCCTTCATCTACAGGACCATTCAAAAGTTTGGACACCCCCTTTCATTCAAGGATTTTTACTATTTTCTATATTGTAGAATAATAGTGAACACATCAAAACTATGAAATAACACAAATTGAATCATGTAGTAACCAAAAAAGTGTTAAACAAATCAAAATATATTTGAGATTCTTCAAAGTAGCCACCCTTTGCCTTGATGACAGCTTTGCACACTCTTGGCATTCTCTCAACCAGCTTCACCTGGAATGCTTTTCCAACAGTCTTGAAGGAGTTCCCACATGCTGAGCACTTGTTGGCTGCTTTTCCTTCACTCTGTGGTCCAACTCATCCCAAACCATCTTATTGGGTTGAGGTCGGGTGATTGTGGAGGCTAGGTCATCTGATGCAGCACTCCATCACTCTCCTTCTTGGTAAAATCACCCTTACACAGCCTGGAGGTGTGTTGGGTCATTGTCCTGTTGAAAAACAAATGATGGTCCCACTAAGCGCAAACCAGATGGGATGGCGTATCGCTGCAGAATGCTGTGGTAGCCATGCTGGTTAAGTGTGCCTTGAATTCTAAATAAATCACGACAGTGTCACCAGCAAAGCACCATCACACCTCCTCCATGCTTCACGGTGGGAACCAGACATGCAGAGATCATCTGTTCACCTACTCTGCCTCTCACAAAGACACAGCGGTTGGAACCAAACATCTCAAATTTGGACTCATCAGACCAAAGGACAGATTTCCACCGGTCTAATGTCCATTGCTCGTGTTTCTTGGCTCAAGCAAGTCTCTGTTTATTATTGGTGTCATTTAGTAGTGGTTTCTTTGCAGCAATTTGACCATGAAGGCCTGATTTCACGCAGTCTCTTCTGAACAGTTGATGTTGAGATCAGAACTATGTGAAGCATTTATTTGGGCTGCAATCTGAGGTGCAGTTAACTCTAATGAACTTATCCTCTGCAGCAGAGGGTAACGCTGTGTTTCCTTTCCTGTGGCGGTCCTAATGAGAGAGCCAGTTTCATCATAGATCTTGATGGTTTTTGTGACTGCACTTCTTGAAATGTTCCTGATTGACTGACCTTCATGTCTTAAAGTAATGATGGACTGTCATTTCTCTTTGCTTATTGAGCTGTTCTTGCCATAATATGGACTTGGTCTTTTACCAAATAGGGCTATCTTCTGTATACCACCCCTACCTTGTCACAACACAACTGATTGGCTCAAACGCATTAAGAAGGAAAGAAATTCCACAAATTAACTTTTAACAAGGCACACCTGTTAATCGAAATGCATTCCAGGTGACTACCTCATGAAGCTGGTTGAGAGAATGCCAATAGTGTGCAAAGCTGTCATCAAGGCAAAGGGTGGCTACTTTGAAGAATCTCAAATATATATTTTGATTTGTTTAACACTTTTTTGGTTACTACATGATTCCATGTGTTATTTCATAGTTTTGATGTCTTCACTATTATTCTACAATGTAGAAAATGGTAACAAATAAAGAAAAACCCTGGAATGAGTAGGTGTCCAAACTTTTTTTTGACTGGTACTGTAAATCACATGCTGCTATACATTTTGAACATCAATAGATGGAAGTAGAACTGGCCAGTTACCAGCTTTTACCTCCCTCTTTTACATATTTTTCTTTTGAGATGCTCCTATGACAAAACAAGCCAATGACCATATGCGTAGCTTTGTTTTCAAGATGGCTGCTTTTGCATGACTATGCTATGCAAATCATTACCCCCCCAAAACTCTCCTTTTCATTTTTTTTGGTCCCTCCCCTTTGTTTGTGTCATTTCTCATTTGTGTTTTGTCTCATTTGTCTCCATCAGCAAGTGCCCAACACCCCTGGGTTTGTGGGGTACAACCCATACAGCCATCTGGCCTACAACAACTACAGGCTGGGAGGGAATACCGGCAGCAACAACAGGGTAATGGTAGGACCAATGCCATCCAGGGCTAGAGCCCAAGGAGTAAGGCTGGCTATTCCCTGATTGAGACAAGGATAATTGGGAGAAAAGAGAAATGAAGCATCATCTGATCCATAACCGCCATTCAAAAGTGTTTGGTACAATACTAGAAGAGTGAAAAAACAAACAAAAACATTAACATGCAGAAAATATTTATTTTTGGGGGGATAAAAGGTACAACAAAAACAGCTGATGGTCAAGTGAGGTCAGTAGTTTCCCCAAAGTCATCCTATAATCTTCTGTAAAACATTCACGATCATCTTACTCCCAACTGATGTGATGCTCAACTTGATGACCCACCAACCACGTGATTGTTTGTTAGAAGTGTCACCAGCTCCCCTCATCTTGTCCCACTCCTCTTGATGCAAACGTATCATATCATGTTAGAGCGGTTGCCTCTCTGACATGCCCCTCCCCTGCTTGTACAGCCTGCTAGGGAGCAGCAGCATGTTGCCCCGTCCATCCAAGGCTCATGACTTGGCATGTCAGAGGTTCATACTGGTTGGTGTTTAATCACAGGGCAGCCAAAACTGATAGATGCTTTCATTTGACTTACAGCCCTCTAATATTCAACACTGAGAGGGCAATCATTTGTCCTCTACATACCAGCTATGCATGAAATACTATCCAAAAAAGAAGGTGCAACATTTTGGAATGAGTCTCCTTAAAAGCTTCACTTAAAGCAGATTTTCAGTTGTGCCCCTTTTTCATAGTGGTAAATAAGTGTTATGTTAGTGTTGTTTTCTGTATAACTATGTGCATTGGTTTGACCTGTTGATCTTTTGTTGGGCTCTCTTTCCCAGAATTCCTCAGGAATCACTGTTCCCAAGCCACCCAAACCGCCAGACAAGCCGCTGATGCCCTACATGCGGTACAGCCGGAAGGTAAGCAGGAAGGTAAGACACCCACGGTGTCTACTTTTACTGCTTGTACAGGGGGTCACCCAGCCAACCGTCTGGATGGCCGGGAACCCCCCCCCCCCCCCCCCCTGTTGATGACCCCTGGTGGTACGTTCCTCACATCTTACCCCCTCTGGATTGGAGGTCGGAGACAGCTGCTTTACACCACCGTCCGGATCCACTCCTCTTCAACACCTGTCTTCATTGTTGATTCTGTCTGTCCTTCTTTCTGTGTGACCTGTTGTGCTTGCTTTCCCTTTGTCTCCTCCAAATCAAATCTTTCTCTCCCTCTGTTTCCTCCTGTTGTGTATTTACATACATTTTCCCGCTTAGTTGCTGCTCTGTTTTGACCATGGTGCCTCCTTTTTGCCAGGTCTGGGACCAAGTCAAAGCCTCCAATCCGGATCTGAAGTTATGGGAGATTGGAAAGATTATTGGTGGCATGTGGAGGGACCTCACTGAAGAGGAGAAGCAGGACTACTTGAACGAATATGAAGCGGAAAAGGTGAGTGAATGACAGTTTGCAGTTCTGCAATACCCTAGCTATTTTGCCTGGGGTAAATGAGTCCAGTATGATTGTCCATTACTGTGTTTTTCACTGTGATTGTATATCTACTGCCTCTCTATAGATTGAGTACAACGACTCCCTGAAGGCCTACCACAACTCACCGGCTTACCTGGCCTACATCAACGCCAAGAACCGTGCCGAGGCGGCTCTGGAGGAGGAGAGCAGACAGCGGCAGACCCGCATCGAGAAGGGAGAACCTTACATGAGCATCCAGCCTGCTGAAGACCCAGATGGTAATGGCCCGGGGACTAGAAATGCTGTATCTCATGTAACTTTTTTGTTTATCTATATTGTGTGTAATGAAAGCAAACGTGTGTCTCTCCTTCCCGTAGACTTTGACGATGGGTTCTCCATGAAGCACACGGCCACTGCTCGCTTCCAGAGGAACCACCGGCTCATCAGTGACATCCTCAGTGAGATCGTGGTGCCAGATGTGCGCTCTGTCGTCACCACTGCACGCATGCAAGTCCTTAAGCGCCAGGTCCAGTCCCTCATGGTGCACCAGGTAAGCAAAGCTAGTGGAAAACACACTGGACTGGAATCACCTAATAGTCTGGTTTGACACTGTCGTGTTCCTTTCCACAGAGGAAGCTGGAAGCAGAACTGCTGCAAATAGAGGACCGTCACCAGGACAAGAAGAGGAGATTCCTGGAGACTACAGACTCCTTCAACAGTGAGCTCAAACGGGTATGTGCCCCCAGTGTCCAGTGAGAATCACCTCATACAAAGTGCAACAGCTGATAGCCTTAGTTTTTTTGTACCAGTGAAGTTAATTTGTTAACTTTTATCAGCAGCCGTGCTGTGTGATGTTAGGTTTGTATTCTGTGCCACTGTCTGTAGCTGTGACTTTTGAAGTTTGTTTGTCTTTGTAGCTCTGGTGTGTTGTACAAAAGTATGATTTGTCATAACTGCTCAAACCTGTAGTGTCTGAAACTAGATGTGTTTGTTTGTGCTTGCAGCTGTGCGGTCAGAAGGTGGAGGTAGACATGGAGAAGCTGGCAGCAGAGATTGCTGCGGCAGAGGAGGCTGCTAGGCGGCGGGCGGAGGAGAGGGAGAAGGAAGCGGCGGAGCAGGCAGAGAAGGCTGCCCAGGAGCAGCAACAGGCGGCAGCAGCCTCCGCTTCGTCTACACTGCCCAACACTGAGCAGAACACCATCCCACCAACCACAGAGACCAAGGAGGACCAGGACAAGCCAATCCCTATGGAGACAGGTCAGTCATACCAACATCACACAAACTACAGACGGGGGGGGGGGCTATGGTTAAAGCATTTTCTCGATTGTTATTTCAGGAACTTGCTGTTTGGAGTAAGAAAAAGCATGATACATGTAGTGCTTTTATTGCCGTAACATGTTGTTGGGAAAACATGTTAACTGTTGTGGCATTCAGACTGACCATTGTGATCAATGATCATTATGATCTACACAAAGACCCCTGACCTACACACTTTCCTTCTTTCCTTCAGAAGAGACACCTGCATCAGAGACATCTGAGACCCAGCCAGAGGCTGAGGAGGGCACGCTGACCCCTGCTGCAGAGAAGCAGCACGGCCCGCCGGTGGAGAGCATCACGGACGAGGGCACCAGTGACAGCACCGCCCCATCCGAGAGCAGCACCGGACCCCCTGCAGACCCCCCTGCTTCAGCTGAGCCTGCCCCAGAGGAACGCCCAGCCAGCCAGCCCTCCCAATAACATCACTGTAGAAGGGCACACCTCTCTCTGAGCACCCCCCCTCTCCCCAACCTGCAGACTAGGGGCATGTTTTGTGGGCACAGTGCTGCATATCAAAATATTGGAATGTGTATAGAAGTGATTCCATAGTTTTGTACATTCTGTATGTTGTTGTTTGCAACGTCATGCAACCCTGTGCCCATTAAACATGACCCTGTCATGTTCTTCCACCATCTCCACACTCAGTTTGTGTGTTTGACATTTCTATTGATCTTGTTATGGACCTCTGGATTCATACCACAACAAGTCAACAGTTCCTCTTTAGCTATTTGCTATTGGGGTTGATAGAACAGGGAAGGGCCTTGGCCTAATGTATTCCATACCCAATTGTCAACGGTTTTTACATGCTATTTTTGTTGCCTATTTTTATCTAACTTTTAGTTAGTAATCAATAGGGTGTGGACTGTTAGTGATGGATTAAATTCAGAATTCATATGAAATGGTCAGTCCTTGAATATCACCTATTATATATCACAGCAAATGGATGATTGAGAACTGTTTTACATGAGCTGTTTGCGACTGCACAGCGGTGTCAAACCCTATTGCTGTGTATCACCACTAAACCTCAAATAAAACCTCATGCATTCAAATGACTGTTTTTACTTGAATTTGAATGATTTTATTATGCCTCTGCGATTTGCATCTTTTTTTGTACTGTCAAGCCTCTTGCCCAAATAAAAGTAATTTCTCTGTCTTTCTGACCAGTGGCTTATTTCAAATGTTTTATTGGCTTTCTCTAGATGTAGGCCTACTGATTGCTTAGCCTGCCTAGTTAGTAATACAAACACAGCATTGTAATTTAAATAAATCGGCAATATAATATCAAACAAACATTCCTTAATTATTTTACAATTTTAATTTGAAAAAAATTAATGTCTGACTTTTGGGCTACTACTGTGAGGAAAATCTCGTTGACCATTGGGGAAAGTATTTGCATGTCCACTTTTCTCACCTCATTGCCTCCTCTGCAATCCATGCGTCGTCACGGCTCTTGAAAAGAGCACGAGGGAGCACCAGATGGTCACAGTATAGAAATCAGGAATGATGAACAGCCGCGCGCTTTGCCTCTACATCGCGCTCCTCTACCCTATTCCCAAAACATTGACGGAATACTCAACCAATACTGACTCGGAGTACGAGTTTGGGGATTACCGGGGCAAGTGGTGCATAGACGACCACGGATTTGTGTATAGCATCGGGGAGGTGTACTACCCCAGTCCATCTGCTTGTCCGTGCACCTGCACTGAAGACGGACCCGTGTGCATACGACCCAAGTGTCCTCGCATTCATCCTCGATGTACGCGGATTAAATACAAGTCTTGCTGTCCAGTGTGTGAGGCAGTTAGCAAAGTGTGTGTATATGGTGGCAAAATGTACAGAATACTCGAGGAATTCAGGGTGAGATTTATTTTTTAAAGAAACATTGACTAAAAATATGATCCATCTACTTTAAGTGACTTTGTATACATTATCCGAAGTTGAATCTTGGAATTTGTTTATTATACTGTATTATACTCCTTATGTCAAAGCAGTGTTTTTGTGTGTGTCTAGCCTGATGGTGGAGATGGGAACATTGGTTATTGATTTATCCTCTATTGCATGAGAGATGTAGTCTTATTGTCGAGTGTAACCATAACAGTACTCTCCATCAACAAGGGCTCATGTGGGGGTCAACAGTTGAGATGGCATGACCTTTAGCCTGAGGTGACATTTCATATGATCTATTTTTAATTGAAAAGAGTATTCAGGTATTACATTGACGCACGCTTCATAGGTTTTTCAAGTATTATGATTCCTTCCAAATGACAGGAGAACACAGAGTTTAACTTTTGAGAGAAAGTGACTGGTAGAAAATGTCTAAAGATGTGTCTAACCTTTTGTTTCAGTTGTCACGCTGTGAGAGATGTCGTTGTGAGCCCAACAGGGAGGTGTACTGTTCCATCTCGGATTGTCCTGCACCACACTGTGTCAACCCTACATATGAGCCCAACCACTGCTGTCCTGTCTGCTACACTGGTGAGTTCACCTCTACAAACACACAACTTTCCAACGCATAAATGGTCTCTACCCTCAGAAAGACACAATTTCTTGCACACCAGTTTACATGCTATAATGATAGGATGGACATACACACAGATGTGTTCTGTATCATATGGCCTATACATACAATGCAAATATACAGAATCCATAAGCCTGGTCATATGTAACTCAAGCATTTTGCTGCATCTGCTATAACATCTGCTTAACTGTGTATGACCAATAAACATTGATTTGATGTCAACCATCTATAATTAGCTTTGACACAGTGTGTGAAATTGATTATGAAGACAGCTGTAGCTCTTACGTAATAATGTTTACGATGTCAGTAGTTGGCTGCTACCCCGAGTTGGAGTCTAAGGTCATCAATATCTTCAATTTTTCTTTAATCACTGCTCCACTGCACTATTACCATCTGTACTGTATGTTCAAAATGCTATGTGCATCATATTCATATCAAGCTCAATCATTAGTTAGAAGTCAAGCCAAGGAGTTTAGGAAATATTTCAATTACTTAGTGACTGATGTAGGATCCGAGCATCCTTAGAACTAAACTATGGAATTCAGCATTGCACAGATTACATAACTGAATTTGGACACTGGATAAAGAGGGATGCAATCAAACAGCTCGATAGTGCTCTGTCCAACACAGGAATAGTAACTAGCCCCAGCCTGGTGGGATAGCGGGGCGATGTGGGTCATGGGGCCATCCATCCAACAGCAGGCAGTAAAGGAACAGCTTGTGTGTGCGCCGTATACAGTTCAATCAATAAATCAATCACATTTATTTATAAAGCCCTTTTTACATCAACAGTTGTCACAAAGTGCTTATACAGAAACCCAGCCTAAAACCCCAAAGAGCAAGCAATGCAGATGTACACTGAACAAAAATATAAACGCAACATCTAAAGTGTTGGTGCCATGTTTCATGAGCTGAAATAAAAGATTCCAGAAATGTTCCATACACAACATGTAAAGGACATTGTATTATCGTATTTTTGTACTCCCCGACGAAGGCCATGCAGCCGAAACGTGTCAGAGTTTTTTAAAACGTTGTTTCCATTGAACATGCCATACAAATAAAGGCATTTTAATTAATTATATGAAGAGTGCCTTGGTCCTCCTTTCTTTTGATGACCAATTTACCCCTGTTACCAAAGAGCACCTTCTGTCTACCAAAATCTACTATTGTGTACCTTAGCAGCACTTCCCTTCCTTTGTTTTTTCTGCAACATGTAAAGTGTTGGTCCCATGTTTCATGAGCTGTAATAAAAGATCCCAGAAATGTTCCATACGCACAAAAAGCTTATTTCTCTCCAATTTTGTGCAGAAGTTTGTTTACATCCCTGTTAGTGAGCATTTATCATTTGCCAAGATAATCCATCCACCTGACAGGTGTGGAATATCAAGAAGCTGATTAAACATGATCATTACACAGGTGCACCTTGTGCTGGGGACAATAAAAGACCACTCTAAAATGTGCAGTTTTGTCATACAACACAATGCCACAGATGTCTCAAGTTTTTAGGGAGCGTGCAATTGGCATGCTGACTGCAGGAATGTCCACCAGAGCTGTTGCCAGATAATTGAATGTTAATTTTATCAATGGCAATTTGAATACACAAAGATACCTTGACGAAATCCTGAGGCCCATTGTCTCACCTTTTTTTAGATGTATCTGTGACCAACATATGCATATCTGTATTCCCAGTCATGTGAAATTCATAGATTAGGGCCCAATTAAATGATATTCAATTGACTGATTTCCTTATATGAACTGTAAAATCTTTGAAATTGTTGCATGTTGCATTTATATTTTTGTTCAGTATATATTGGCACCCTTCCACTTCTCTTAAATAATTTATTCTATAATAAGTATGCTTTTTTCCAATCATTTGGTCTCTACACATTATTGGATTTTCAACATTGAAGAAGCAATTTTGTTTTTTGAAATTTAAGTTTACAATTTTAATTTAGAAAAGAAAAACCAATGGCATGGACTCAATTATTAGCACCCAATAGCTAATACTTGGTTGCACAGCCTTTGGCCAAGATACAATAACTGCTGACAAATGCTTCTTGCAGTCTTCAATTAGCTCTTTTCTACTGGAAGTTTGGCCCACTCTTCAGCTGCAAAATGCTCAAATTCTGCAATGTTTGAGGGGTGCCTTCCACCAACTGCTGTTTTCAGATCTCGCCATATGTTTTAGATGGGAATCAGATATGGACTCAATGCTGGCCACTCCAGAACAGTCTAGTGTTTCTTCTTGAACCATTCCTGGGTGCTTTTTGATGCGTGTTTGGGTTTGTTGGCCTGCTGGAAGACCTACAACCTTCAACGGAGACCCAGTTTTTGTACACTGGGTTGAACATTGGACTACAAAATACCTTGATAATCTGCTGATTTCATGAGTTTAAGGCCCCCAGTACCAGAGGCAGCAAAGCAAACTCACAGCATTATTGAAACTCCCCCATGTTTGATTGTAGGGATTGTTTGGTTGTCTGTAAACATAGCGCTGATTTCAAGAGCTCAAATTTTGTTTAATTGGTCCATAGAACATTTCCCCCAGGATTTAGTCTTGTTTAGGTGGGTTTTTGTGAAGTTCAATAGGGGTTTCTTGTGTAGGGAATTATTTAAGAAAAGTGCAAGGGTGCCAATTTATTTGGCCACAACTGTGTCTGCCTTTATGGATGTGTAAGTAACTCTACAAAGTATAGCATATTGGTGCTGCAAATGGATGACAGTGGGGTGGTTTCAATAAGACTACAGAAGTTTCTTATTGCAATGCTGATAAAAAGACCACATTAGGTACACAATTAACATTTATGTTGACATACATCTGATATATCTACTTATTTTTCTGCATCCTGCCTACAGGCCCCAACTGTTTTGTGGGCGACAGAGTGATCTCGGCAGGGGAGCGGGTAGAGATAGACGAGCAGACCGTGTGTTACTGCACCTACCGGGACGGCACCTGGCAGATGCAACCCCATGCCACCTGCGAGCAGCGCCCGCTGCCGGACCCCGATCTCAACCCTGTCCCCAACCCCAGCCCCTCTGAGCCCTCCGGGGAAGACGAGACCAAGCAGATGGACAGGGACTTCCGCCCCAGGCTGGACTGGATCCCGTGAGCAGGCAGGAGGGTGGGGGTGAGAGGGTAGAAGTGTGCCAAGGGGAAACGGGGAGATGATGGGGCAGGTTGTTTTCCGTGCCCTGCTGAGTGCAGTCTGCATAGGGCTTAGGGCCAGGGATGACCTACTATACCACATTATACAACATTACTAGCTAGTAGTGTTTGTGCAACATTATATAAAACTTTGCACACAGGGACCACAATATATGGTGCACATTCAAGACAATACACAACTATAACACATAGTTACGTGACTTGAATTAGTCTACATTTTCCTTCACTTGCAGTAGTCTCTGGTTTTGTCGTCAAAGGGCTGGTGTAAGTGGACACTTTGGGGTAGAGATGGTTGCAACATTCACCCTTCTATTAATCTCAGGTTTACACGTTCATTCGTGCACATTAACTTTGCTCTGTATGTTTCTCTTTGACTAGTGTTAGTTTCTTTAATAACTTATTGATATCCTTCTCAGAATTGTTCTAACGCTAAAATGGAAATGTAACCCTTTCCAAATGTTCTGTATGTAAATGTACTTGTGGTTCTATTAAGTGTAGTTTTGAAGAGCATATTATCAAATAAGGATCAGGAACCGTATGTATCAAGTGTCTCAGATTGGAGTGACAATTTAGGATCAGTTTTGCCTTAAATAGATCACAATGAATAAGATTACATGGACAAGGGGCCCTGACCCTAGATCAACACTCCTACAGAGACACTTGATAAGGACCCAGTTGAATGATTGACAATGTTCTATCCTTATCCTTGTTTACATGCAGGCAAGCGCCTACACCAGGGGTAGGTAACCCTGTTCCTGGAGTGCCAGAAGTACTGCAGGATTTTGTTCCAACTAGGTACCACACCTGACCAACTGAGCCAATTGATCAGTTCAGTGATTGCCTAAATTCAACACACCTGGTCTTCAGGTTAGTTAAATCAAAAACATGGAAGTGCCTGCTGCACGGGAACAGGATTACATCAGATCTCACAGCTCTTGAAAAGGTGTCCCATTCATCATATCCCTCAACGCAAACTTCCATTTTGGCTTTTAGATGAGCAACCTCCTGCAATATGGATTTGTATTTTCAGCCGTGAAGATCAATTCTTCATAAATAATTGACATCTGCTGTCCATGAATTTAGTCATCCATTAACATTGACAAGTTATCAAATATATCATGATGTGAACCACAATTCACTGGCCAACTTGGAGAAAAAAAATTGCTGGTGACAATATTGGTGAATGTGCTCCTGTTCTTACAGTGAGACTAAACAGATGTATACAGTAGATACTGTATAGTTGGACACTGCCTTGGGATCTTGCAGACAGAACACTTGACAGACTTTACAACGGTTTTTATTGAAAACAACAAGCCAGGGTCAAGGATCATGCTATGCTGCCAGCATTTGAAGCAATCCTGGGCCACAGGTCTGCGCATTCCTTGGCCACGGGTCCTGTGATTGCTGAACCTGTGAAACAGAAGACAGAAATTTAGCCCACAACAAAAATGAGATAATAGGGACAACATGCCTTTGGCCTTGCATCAGTGCAGTAACATTTCACTGTTTGTAGACCTGCCACTTACAATGTGAACTAACTATTATGTAACTCATGCATCCACAAGAAAACTCCAGACTCGATTTGACTGCATTGTCTTGATTTCAACATCCACACTTTACTTTGGTTGCTGACAAACAAAATCACTATCGTTTCCAGGTAAATTCCTATAACGTTACCTACAAAATAACCTCACATGGCATTGTAACACCAAAATATGACATGTTGCAGTCAGATTCTCTACCAATCTTTTTTAATCAATGACTGAGTGAGGACGTACACACTTCCAGGAGAAAGGTAGAGAATCACACTGCCGCCATTATGTCACTATATCTAAATGTATTCCAAGGATGACCACTATCCAGTGAACACAAATGTCCCATCACTGATTGAGATTGGTCAGCCAAAATGAGACTGCCATCTCACCCACAGTGATGATTACTATACCCTTCTTCGACAACTCACCCAGCTACTGACCAGACAAAGCAAGTGCTTTTTGAAGGGGTGTCATTTATATTTAGCAATATAGTGTCAAAATCAACATCTAGAATTTGAAATGCACTCAAAGAAGCCCAGCCAAACATCATTATGAAGAGGCTTGAAGAACCTTCATGACTTGGTATGGGGGACCAAAGACTCAAAATCCCAACGCACCTTTCATTTCTCCTTTCACATTCACTATGACCCCTGCATTGTCTTCAAAGTAGAGAAACACGCCATCCTTTCGCCGATACGACTTCCGCTGCCGTATCACAACCGCAGGATGCACTGTGGGAAAGAGGAAGACTATCAGAATGCAGCTACCTGACAGATTATGGAAGTTATTCTGCCATAACTCGCATCTCCGCACTGTTGATTTTCTACCTTCAGTTAAACGATTGGTCTGGGACTACCACTGTGGTGAAAACACCTGTAGCTCAGCTGGTAGAGCATGGCACTTGCAACGCCAGGGTTGTGGGTTCGTTTCCCACGGGTGGCCAGTATGAAAATGTATGCACTCACTGACTAAGTCGCTCTGGAGAAGAGCGTCTGCTAAATGACTAAAATGTAAATGTAAAACGACAAGTCATTTTAAAAGAGCAATCAAATTACTATGCCAATTATCAAACCGCCATAATCTATTAATTAGCTAGTCTCAGTTCAAGCATTATATAGTGACGTCATTCATCCTATTCTAGTAATTGAATACATAATGCAGAACACTCACCTTTTTTTCTGAGTTCTGGCTTGCCTTTCTTGACGGTGGCCATGACCATGTCACCCACACCAGCAGCGGGCAGACGGTTCAGACGTCCCTTGATGCCCTTGACAGAGATGATGTACAGGTTCTTGGCACCTGGTGAGAAAGGGGGAAGAATATGGTGAATATATGACAGATGGTTCCACTGCCCAGGCTTGATTCAAGGTACAGATCCTTGTAGGCTATTTCAAGACAAGGTTGAAATACATGAAATGTCCCATCACTGATTGAGATTGGTCAGCCAAAATGAGACTGCCATCTCACCCACAGTGATGATCTTTCTATACCCTTTTTCGACAACTCACCGAGCTACTGACCAGACAAAGCAAGTGCTTTTTTAAGGGATATATATATTCTAACAGATCTGAGTGTAACATACCCGTGTTGTCAGCGCAGTTGATGACAGCACCCACTGGGAGACCCAGCGAGATGCGAAACTTCGCCCCAGATGACCCACCACGTCCTGAACAAGAGAAGAGATTCAACTGAAGTAAACATTACATGGTGCTGAGACTGAAAGCACACTGCTATAATCAGGCAAAGATGATCCAAGTTGTTCCATCACGGATTGAGATTGTTCAGTACAGGTGACTGCCATCTCACCCACCAGTGATGATTACTATACCCTTCTTCGACAACTCACCCAGCTACTGACCAGACAAAGCAAGTGCTTTTTGAAAGGGGTTCAACTTCACATTTAGTCATTTTCTTTTCAGATTAAAACTACTGCCAAGAACATGCAGCTACAGCACTATGTGGGAGGAATTATACAAGTCACCACACAACCAAACCATAAGGCCTCAAGATTAGGAGTGACTCCACACTTTTAATATGCAATTTAGCAGACGCTTTTATCCAAAGCGACTTAGTCATGTGTGCATACATTTTTACGTATGGGTGGTCCCGGGGATCGAACCCACTACCCTGGCGTTACAGGCGCCATGCTCTACCAATTGAGCTAACGTTACTGTTTGCACTACAAAAAGGCATCCCATTTTGACAGTTCTACCCCTTGTCTAATGCCCCCAACCAGGGTAGCTTGCAAATTAATTGGCCAGCTAGTTGTGAGTAGACTGCTGTAAGGTGATAGCTAGCTAGTTATTTGCATGGCCTGGGACGAGTTGGAGGAAACTAACGTTCAATTAGATTAAATCAGTAGCTTTGGTTCAATGTTTTGGAGGAAGAATCCCCCTATTTGAAGATAAAAAGCAATACACCGTGGCTCAATTTGGCTAGCCGGGGAAATCATTGAGAAGACTTCACACGTACCTACAGTAGCGAACGTTAGTCAGCCTAGGGCTTCAGCGGTGTCCATGCATGATTCGCAGTAATGCCTGCTCTTAGTCAGAGACGCTATGCTAACAAGCACCAGTTATAACACCACTCACACAAGTTCACTTGCCACACATTTGTTGGGCATTGTACTGGAATGGCAAATGTGTTTATACGTGAGGGCTTAGAGCATACGCTCACCAGTTAATGTATTTTAGTTAACAAGCCAAAAGCTAATCAGCGGTGACAGCAAACATGGCTTCCGTAACAAGCGCCTAAAATCATCCCTTTGAATAATACTCAGTCCTTCACATTTTCAAGCCAATATGAATGACAATTATTCATAAAACGACCATTATCCAAATAACATTATTTTCCTATGTTAGACATTCGGCAAACGGGTAGATGAATGTGGATATTCCTTAGCAAGTCTCTTACCTCTCTTAGACATTGCTGCAAAAGGGAAAGAGGACGACGGAAAAAGGAATCATGGGATATAAAGTTCCGGAGACATACCATAGATATTTAACGTCCGGTCGATTTAGCCTATATCGCCCTCTGGTGTTGGTGACAACAGCCTACATGTGGTGGTCATAAACAACTACTAGAGCGTCTCTGCTTTCAAAATGAAAACATTGTGCAACTTCATGTGCAATTATTTGCTAATTGTCCAGTCATGAATGTAAGGTGTCACACGTGGAACATTTAAGGGGGTAAAGACCAAATCTTCTTCTTCTGTGGGTTTTATGGCGGTCTACATCCAAAAGTTGCATTGCCGCCGCCAACTGGACGGTTTGAAACCAAAAATAAAATGTAAAATAAATAAATCCATACTTAAGTGATTCTAACAATCCACCCTAATAAAAATAGTACATTGCCAAAAAAATAATAATAATCACACTTCATCTTTCTTTTAGTTCTCCATATCTCCCTTCTCAGGCTCTAGTACCTGAGAAGGTGGTACGGCTTTTGCTAATATTCCATGTTACTCCTTTGCTGTGAAATCTTTCAACTCCAGGAACCGCTCTGCCGCAATCACAATGATTTCAATCTTCCTAGATCTTTTCTCCACCTTGGCAGTGCAATTTATCACGATTGCGATAAAAGCCACAAAGTCCACCTTTTTAACCTTTAAAATGTCAGGATCCTCTTGGTGTAAGACAACCCCTGCAGCCTGCAGTGAAGGCCTATCCACTACCATGGACTCTTCTGGTGCAACATTCAAACCCTCAACCCTTTTCACAGCTTCTGCATACGAAATGCTCTGTACAACCCTGACTTTGGCCACCTCATTCTTATTTACCCTTGTGGGGCATTCAGAAGACGTTGCTTCATGATTCCCACCGCAATTACAACATGTCACATTTTCTTCACTTTTATAACACATAATATGATATTTTCCACATGTTGTACATCTCGGCTTCTCCCTTCTGCAAACCCTTTCTACATGACCAAAAGCTTTACAATGTTCACACTGCATTGCTTTTGGGATAAATGCTCTAACTCTGTAGTTAATATTCCCTAACCGCACTTCATTAGGGAGAGACTCCATTTCAAAAAACAGAAACTCTTCACTTTTTCCCTATTCACCACTCGATTCATCCGACGTGCTTCAATCCCTCCAGGAATATTTGTAATCTCTTCCAAATCAATTTCCCACGAAACGCCAGATATAACCCCCTTAACGGGTGCCCTGTTCCGAAGCTACACACACAACACTTCAAACTTATCAAATCGATTAAGACACAACGCACGTTCCTTCTGATCCGCAGAATCACTAAAAATCTAAACAACCCCACCTCTCGTGATCCTCACATTTTCACTTTACCCAGCACTCTCTCCACCAGTTTGGATAACTCAAATGGTTTCTTCAATATTGTTACTCTGCCCAGCTGCTCCTTACTAACAAACCATACTCCTACTAGATACGAAGTGTCATTCTCTTCACTGTACCCTACTTTGCTCCGTTTTCCATTCGTCAAAACCAATTTTGTGTATAACCCTTGGATGACTGACAGGGGGGCGCTGTATTGAAGACACCGCTAAGCCATCTTGGTACTCTTCAATTGTACTTTTTAAAAAATATATTTTGGGAGCTATATAAAAGCATTTGTTGATGTCTACATTATTATATTTCAGACACCTTAATGCATACTTAAAAATTATATTGTGTGAGCTAAACGTTTGTAAAAAATATATAAAAACATTTTACTTAAATACATGTAAATACTTAAATACATGTACTTTTGTCCTTGAAACATTTAATTGAAATACTGTAGAATTCCATTAATTCCTGGAGGACTGCGCCTACTAGTGAGTGCCAATATGGCTCCAAAGCCTCTCAATGGCCAATACAAAGCATTAGCAATCCAGGTTTTATATAGATTTTAGATTTTAGTCATTTAGCAGACGCTCTTATCCAGAGCGACTTACAGTTAGTGAGTGCATACATTTTCATACATATACACTATATATACAAAAGTATTAGTGGATTCGGCTATTTCAGCCACACCCGTTGCTGACAGGTGTTTCAAATCGAGAACACAGCCACATAGAAAAACACTGGCAGTAGAATGGCCTTACTGAAGAGCTCAATGACTTTCAACGTGGCGCAGTCATAGGATGCCACCTTTCCAACAAATCAGTTCATGCTTCACCATCTGGCAGTCCAATGGACGAATCTGGGTTTAGCGGATGCCAGGACAATGCTACCTGCAGTGGTGTAAAGTACTTAAGTAAAAATACTTGAAAGTACTACTTAAGTCGTTTTTTGGGATATCTGTACTTTACTTTACTGTTTATATTTTTTGACTTCTTTTACTTTGACTTCACTACATTCCTAAAGAAAATAATGTACTTTTTACTCCATACATTTTCCCTCCATGCATTTTCCCTGACACCCAAAAGTACTCATTACATTTTAAAATGCTTAGCAGGACAATAAAATGGTCTAATTCACACACTTATCAAGAGAACATCCCTGGTCATCCCTACAGCCTCTGATCTGGTGGACTCACTAAACACATGCTTTGTTAGTAAATTATGTCTGAGTGTTGGAGTGTGCCCCTGGCTATCCGTAAATAAATAAAATACAAGAAAATGATGCCATCTGGTTTGCTTTATATAAGGAATTTGAAATGATTTATACTTTTACTCTTGATACTTAAGTATATTTTATAAATTACATTTATTTTTGATACTTAAGTATATTTAAAACCAAATACTTTTAGACTTTTACTCAAGTAGTATTTTACTGGGTGACTTTCACTTTTACTTGAGTCATTTTCTATTTAGGTAACTTTACTTTTACTCAATTATAACAATTGGGTACTTTTTCCACTACTGGCTACCTGCCCGAATGCATAGTGCCAACTGTAAATTTGGTGGAAGAGGAATAATGGTCTGGCGCTGTTCCAGTCAATGGAAATCTAAACACTACAGCATACAATTACATTTTCGACGATTCTATGCTTCCAGCTTTGTGGCAACAGTTTGGCGAAGGCCCTTTCCTGTTTCAGCATGACAATGCCCCCGTGCACAAAGCGAGGTCTATACAGAAATGGTTTGTCGAGAAGAACTTGACTGGCCTGCACAGAACCCTGACCTCAACTCCATCAAACACCTTTGGGATGAATTGGAACGCCGACTGCGAGCCAGGCCTAATCGCTCAACATCAGTGCTCGACCTCACTAATGCTCTTGTGGCTGAATGGAAGCAAGTCCCTGCAGGAATGTTCCAACATATAGTGGAAAGCCTTCCCAGAAGAGTGAAGGCTGTTATAGCAGCAAAGGGGGGACCAACTCCATATTAATGCCCATGATTTTGCAATGAGATGTTCGGCGAGCAAGTGTCCACATACTTTTGGTCATGTAGTGTACATTATTGGTGAAGACAGAGGAGAGAGGCGAAGCCTATCTTTAGTGAGAACGAAATGAAAGAGAACAGAACTACACACAAGGCGCACAATTAATTAGACACATGCCAACAAAAAGTATCTGTATTATGAGCAAAAGCGATATTGCCTGCATATCTTTGAAGCCATTTCAGGAATTTATCTTTGTGAGAGGGAGGATAATTATAGCAGGTGTTGATAGGAAGAATAAGGATGTGGTCTGGGTGAGAGGGGAGAAGGATAGTAGAGTTGGAGTAATAGGCTAACAGTAGCAAAGGAGTGAGGATGGGGAAGACATCATGTAGGAGGGAGACATGGAGGGAGTGGATGATGTTACCTAGGAGGGAGGTTTTGGCTAGGGTGAAATAGTGATTCCTCACGAAACCCAGAGAAACAAATATTTTGGTGATTTTCATGAAATGTAGTCCATAGAATAGTCCTTTGGAGGAAGGATTGTTGACATATTTGACATTAGTATCTAAAAGCATAATTGAGAAATAATTAATCAAAGTTGGCATATTTATGACAATAGTGGAGTTGAGGCATGAGTTATTTATGTAGTGCTGTAATGATATGGGATGTAGTGAAATGAGATCACCCTTGTCCTTTGGCATGAGATTGAGAGTATTATAGCTAGCAGTTGTGAAACTGTGGAAAAATATACTTGTTCTGTCCTCACTGTGTTTCTTAACAGTTAGACAGGCAGCTTATCCCAATAAAATCCACATGGCTTTACTGGTCAAATTTGTGAACTGTGAAAACAATACAGAGAAAAAACAATGCTTTTGCTTAAAAAGAATGACAATACAATCTCCATGATGGAGCTACGCTAACATTACAACCACTCACTTTCAGTTATTTGAAAAGGAAATCGTCTCCCAGATATCACTATTTCTAAAACAAGCCATAGAAAGTTGGTTGCAATTTCAATTTAATCCTCCAGAAACGACAGAACAAATAATGCAACAAATATTGTGGTTAAAATCAAATATACTAATTGAAAAAAAATTTTTTTTTTGACAAAATGTTTAAAAAAGGTATAATCTTTGTAAATTATATCATCAGTAGGACTGGTGGAGTTATATCGCACATGCAGCTAACAAAAACATATGGAAATGTCTGCTCTACCCAAAATTACAACCAAATAATTGCAGCCTTACCGCAAAAATGGTAGAGGAAAGTGGAAGGAGGAGAAAGTAAGGAACTTGTCTGTCGGCCTTGCATTAAAGAACATAATTGGTTAAGGAAAACTGTGATAAATAAAATGTATATCAGTTTCATTTAAGGACCAAAGGATTGACAACCATCCCATATACAGTGAAGGAAAAAAGTATTTGATCCCCTGCTGATTTTGTACGTTTGCCCACTGACAAAGAAATGATCAGTCTATAATTTGAATGGTAGGTTTATTTGAACAGTGACAGACAGAATAACAACAAAAAAATCCAGAAAAACGCATGTCAAAAATGTTATAAATTGATTTGCATTTTAATGAGGGAAATAAGTATTTGACCCCCTCTCAATCAGAAAGATTTCTGGCTCCCAGGTGTCTTTTATACAGGTAACGAGCTGAGATTAGGAGCACAACTCTTAAAGGGAGTGCTCCTAATCTCAGTTTGTTACCTGTATAAAAAACACCTGTCCACAGAAGCAATCAA